GGGAGGTTGGGGGTGGGGGTCTCCTCTCAGTCCCTGGCCCAGCTCCACGGGGCAGCCCGTCCTCAGCCTTTTCCACGGGCCTGTCCACGCGCCCCGCTAGCCTCTTCGCCTTCCGGCTGGGGGGCTGGCGCGAGCCCCCCTCCTGCAACGGCTCCACGCCCGTCCGCATCCTCTTCCTTCCCCTCCTCCACGCAAGCATTTAATTTTCCCCAGTGTGATTTGCCCTCCCTCCTTCCCCGTCACTTGCGTCTGTGGCCTGGTTCCCTGATTCCCGGTGCTGCTGTGGCTCTCCGAAGCCTGAGCCCTATTAAACGTGACGTTGTTGGTGGAGAGTCTCCATCAGTAGGTGGAGGCACCTTCTCCCCGCCCCCGAGACAGTCTGGGACCTGCCGTGGGCCGGTCGGTAACTGCCCGTATCTCTCCCGGCAGCCATGGCGATGAGGCTGCTGCCGTGCGCCGTGGCGGTCCTCCTCCTGGCGGCCGCCCTGCGTCTGGACAGCTGCCACGGCGCCAAGGTGCTGGTGATGCCCACCATCGTCTTCGACAGCCACCTGCGGGTGTTCGTGCGGGTGGCGGAAGCACTGAACGACCGGGGTCACGAGGCTGTGCTGCTCCTGCACGAGGGCCGGGAATCCGAGCCCGTCCCGCCAGGCCTGCGCGTGCAAACATACAAGGGGATCTTCAGCACGGAGAGCGCAGACGCCTGGGTGCAGGAGAAGATCCGGGGAGTCTTCCAGGGGAAGAAGACCTCCCTGGAGATCTTCTCCTTCCTGGAGAAGTACTTGGAAAACTGCGACCTGGTGCTGGGGGACACAGCCCTCCTGCAGCGGCTCTGGGGGGAAGGCTTTGACTTGTTCGTGGTAGACCCCAACGAGATGTGTGGCTTCATCCTGGCCCACCTCCTTGGCGTCAAGTACGCCGTGATCTCCACCGGCTTCTGGTACCCGGCCGAGATCGGCGCCACGGCGCCGACTCCCTGATGACGGACAGGATGGGGCTGACGGGCCGGGCGTGGAATCTCCTGGTCTACGTGATCACCCGCATGGCTACCAAGCTGCTCATCCTGCCCAAGTTCGACCACCTCATGGAGAAACACGGGGTGGAGCCGCGCACGTCCATGCTGGAGCTCGTCCACGGGACCAGCCTCTTCTTCCTGTGCAACGACGTGGTGCTGGACTTTCCTCAGCCCACACTGCCCCACGTCGTTTTCACCGGCGG